AAATGGGCCATGACTTTCTAATTTAAGGCTCACTGAATTTGTAGAAATAAATATATGTTGTACATTCATTTCAAAGGAATGGAGAAACTCTAGTATGCATTGAAAAGGGAACACCACTGAAATAATTGAGATCACTTAATCTAAAATATAACATACATTTAATTGCTTAAACCTATATAATATAAAGCATAAGCAAATAGATTCTTAGTTAACCTCAACATATATTTTCAGTAACTTGTCATTACCCTGAGAATGAAATATAAATTTTTAAAATTATTAATTCAAAAATGTCCAATAATTACAAGAAAATATAAATTATATTTTAAAAAAATATTTGCAGATCATAGCAGGTTGGTAATCAATATGAATTTAAATTTGTATCACAATAAGATTAGCATTCTCATAAAATCCTTAAATTTATTAGAATATAGTCCATTTTAGGAAGGATACGATTCCTCATTCCAAAGGCATCAATTCAATAGTGGTAGAGGGAAAACTGGCATACTCACATCATGATATTCTAACAGGAGAAATACCTGTGAACCTGGAGCTTATAGCTTTGTGCAAGCTATTTGGGTAAGGCTTTATTTAAAAGAAAAATTGCAGTGGTATTGTTAGAGGAGACTAGCGTGGACCTTCAAATCAATGATTTCCTTTGGTTTCCCATCTATTCCTCCCTTCTAGATGATCTGCATTGATGAATTTCCACTGATTGCCTTTATTTCCACATTGTTTTTCCTGTGTGTTAACAGATATTTCCTAAAGCTATGTCTTCCACCCTGATATCTCTCTAGCTTTATGTTTTCATCTGCTCACAAAGTCCTAGATACTTGAAAACACAACACATCCAAACTATAACTATATATCATTCCCCAAAAATGTGACCCTTTATTTCTACAGGCTTCATCTTGCTTACTAACATTGTGATTAACTCAGAAGACTCTCCCCCTGACTCTTCTGTCTACTCTGTAATTTATTCCAATCCTAATTCTGAAATGTCTTTACCAGTTGATTATTTTTTCCACTGCAGTGGTTTAACTTTTTCCCCTTATGATCCTTAATTGTGCCGTTATGACTGCATGCTTCAATCTCTACCTGCTATCACAGCCTCCTGCCTCGCAAATCTATCTCACTACCACCACCACCATGTCTAGCTTTGTGGCAACTCAGTTAGGATTATCATATAAGACTTTCACATATTGGAGGAGAAGTTGGGTTCATAATCTCAGGTTGAGTTGGCATTCCAGAACCAAGCACACATATGGAATCACTGAGGATGCAAATTCTAAAGAAGACTCCTTAGGGCTGCTGCTGTGGTGTAGTGAGCTAAGTCTCCACCTGCAGCACAGGCAACCCATATGGGTGCTGGTTCATGTCCTGGCTGCTCCTCTTCCAATTCAGCTCTCTGCTTTGACCTGGGAAAGCAGTAGAACTTGGCACAAGTCCTTGAGCCCCTGCATCCACATGGGAGATTCAGAAGAAACTCCTGACCCTTTGCTTCGGATTGGCCCAGCTCCAGCCGTTGCAGCCATAGAGAGTGAACCAGCAGATGAAAGACCTTTCTCTCTGTCTCTCCTTCTCTCTGTCTGTTACTCTACCTCTCAAATAAATAAAATCTTTAAAAAAGGAAGATTCCTTTGTTGTACCCTAATATCCTGATTCAAAATCCTCCCGAGTTTTGATACTTTAATTATATTTTCATAGGGTTCTCAAGTGATTGTGATGTACAACTGTATTTGGAAGCTCTAAGATCGTGTTTGGTTATAAGTTTCAATAATTATAAAGCTCCGATCTGAGTCCAATTTTCTATTTGAAGAAAATAAATATAAAATTAATTTGTGTAATGGTAGTATCATTAAACTAAACACAAAGCTTTCTGGGTGGTTCACATTTAAGGAGAAAGCATTCTAATCTATAAAGTTTGAAGACTGTGAAAGCAATCACTTTACATTAAGGGTATGCTTCATGCATGTTTTCCAACACATATATGTAATTAGCTTTATTTAGTGTCACACCTGATGTGTGTAATCACTAATGGATTACACGTGAAGAATTCAATATATCTAATACAAAACTAGTAGTGAGTGTTATATTAAGTATGCAGAAATTTGAATTCTAAATATATTTAAGTACAAATTATTAAAACCTAGCAGAATAGCACAACAAAAGAGGTAAAATTAAGGCTCTTGAAGGCTCTTGTTGATTAGCTAAAGAAAGGATTCCTGCCTCATATAGCAAAGAGTATGTTCCTATATCTGTAAATTCATAAGGATGTTTGTTTGTAACTCATGACCTAGCATTGGAAAAGGCCTCCATAACTAAACTCGAGTAGCTAATAGATTTCATTATGAAGTCAGTGTCATAAATAAATTGTTCTGGGAGAATATAGATAAGAATGATAAATTCTTCATTTTGTAAAATAGTTTCAAGGAGCAAATGTGTAAATATAAACCTAAACCCTATGGTATACTAAAGTATCAGAAGTTGAACTCCAGCATATTAAGCAGTATTGGTGCACTTGGATGACTCAAAATACAAGTGCAGATATATTCATGAGCTGTGAGATGTTTATTTGTTTATAGGTTATTACATTAGATAATTACTTTATATTTAAGCTATACACACATGTTTTATTTTGAAAGCACTTGTTTTAATAAAAATACATTTTCCATAGAAAAACTTTTTTTTTTGGACATGCAGGCAGAGTGGACAGTGAGAGAGAGAGACAGAGAGAAAGATCTTCCTTTTTTGCCGTTGGTTCACCCTCCAATGGCCACCGCGGCCGGCGCGCTACGGCCAGTGCACTGCACTGATCCGATGGCAGGAGCCAGGTACTTCTCCTGGTCTCCCATGGGGTGCAGGGCCCAAGCACTTGGGCCATCCTCCACTGCACTCCCTGGCCACAGCAGAGAGCTGGCCTGGAAGAGGGGCAACCGGGACAGAATCTGGCGCCCCGACTGGGACTAGAACCTGGTGTGCCGGCGCCGCAAGGTGGAGGATTAGCCTAGTGAGCCGCGGTGCTGGCTCCATAGAAAAACTTTTATAAGGTGTGCTGAGGATCTCCTATGAAACCCATAACGGGTTTTACTATAATACTGATGATACTGAGATCTTGAAGCAACAGATCAGCTGGAAGAAGAATGTTTCCTTCCTTTTCCCTTCTACAATAAAGCTTTCCCTTAGAAAGACTTTGGAAAGTACCAATAGTTCTTAGCTATCATAACTTATTGTTACTTCCCAAACTCCCAGTGACCATTAATACTCAAAACCTATGTGGGATATGGTAAGATAATAGAAAAACCTTACTGTCATTTCCATTGGGATTTGGTTTGACTGCATGTATCAGGGCGGGAATGGGATGGAAAGTAGCTTATAACAAGGGAAATATGGATACATATATCCAGACGGTTCCATGGTTATTAGGGAATCAGCTTCCTACTATTCTCTTCCAGACCTAGAATGTTTTACATTCTTAAAAATTTACTTCAAAGTCCAAAAATGACTTCTATAGCTCTAGCCATCATATTTCTAGTCCATGCAGTAAACAGAAAACAGGGAAGGGTAAGAAGGATACTCTTCAAGATAAGTCATTTTCCTAAGGAATCCTCTGTTCATTATTGGCTAAAACCTTAGTCATACAATACTTTCGGTTATAATAGTGACTGGAAGACATACTGTTTTAGCTTTGCAGTTAACCATTCCAAATGCAAGTGGAGATCTGTTGCTGAAGATGGAAGGGGAAAAAGGGTAGTAGTAGGGAATCAATAATCTCTGCTGTGTTCCTCAGTTGTTTGGTGCTAGAGATTCCTTACACCCTCTCCTACTCACCCAGCGAAGCTCTCAATTCTCAGTCTCATTTTCTTTATCTGTAGAGATGACCTTCCTGGAGCAGTGGTTCTACACTTTGGCTGCACACTGGGAGTATATTTTAAAAATTCTGATGCCTGTGTCATGCCTAGGCTAGTTCATCAGAAATTCTACCAGTGAGTTACAGGCCTCAGTATTTTTGAAAAGTCTCTCTAGGTAATTCCAGTGTGAAGTCACTTTGGAGAACCATTGTCCTAAAGAAATGTAAAAAGAATGATGCTATATTCTGTTACTTTTTTCTGTTCCATAATCAAGTGATGCCAGGAATGGAGAATTATTTTGGGAATTGTGGCACTACTCAGATTCACCACCCCTTTGCCTTTGGAGTCATTTTTCTTATAAAAACTGCCCCCTCTTTTTTTTCAATGGCATCTTTTCTTCTATAACATCTGAACCACAGATTCTCTCAAAATCCTGACTTTTCTTTACTGATGTAGGTCGTCTTTGATACCTGTTCTTTTCATACACTCTCTCATCCATTCAAATACTCTATATGACTCCAAAATATTTTCAAATTTTTCTGCACCTTTACTCACCCAAAACACATATAGCAACAAAAAAGAATGTTTGGAACACACACACACCTTATCATATCATTACTCTACATCAATTCCTACAACAATTCCCTATTGATCTAGGGCTCTCAGACACACAATATCCCTTCCTGCATATCCTAGCCTCATCTTAGGCCACAACCCATTATTGTACTATGGCTTTCTTTCATTCTTCATTTCCTAACAGTTAACCTATTGAACCTCCAAACTCAATCAAACAGTTTCATTTGCCAATTGCAATTGTAGTAGGCCTGTGCTTGCTCATACAGACTGAGTCAGAACACAAGCTACACTTCTTTGTGGTCCTAGTCAAAATCATACATAATCGTTTAAGGAGGGCAGGGAGTATGTTCTTCACTATTTTGTTTCATAACCTAGGATAGCGCCTATCACAGAGTATGTGTTTGGTAATATAAAGACAAATATTTTGAATGAATATGACAAGGAATGAGTAATATAAGATACTAGGTTGATGGGGGACAAACTGAAATGGTCATAAGCAGCTGCTTATAACTTAAGGACTTGTGACAAAAGTAAACATCTTGTCCACTTTTTCAATATTTATCTATGTCTCTGCAGGTTGTGATTTGATCCCAGTACAGTATCTTCGCTGGGGTGACCCTGAGCCCATTGCAGCTGTGGTGTTTGCCTGCCTCGGCCTGCTGGCCACCCTGTTTGTTACTGCAGTCTTCATCATTTACCGTGATACACCAGTAGTTAAATCCTCCAGCAGGGAACTCTGCTACATCATTCTTGCTGGCATCTGCCTGGGCTACTTATGTACCTTCTGCCTCATTGCAAAGCCCAAACAGATTTATTGCTACCTTCAGAGAATTGGCATTGGTCTCTCTCCAGCCATGAGCTATTCAGCCCTTGTAACCAAGACCAACCGTATTGCAAGGATCCTGGCCGGAAGCAAGAAGAAGATCTGCACCAAAAAGCCCAGATTCATGAGTGCCTGTGCCCAGCTAGTGATTGCTTTCATTCTCATATGCATCCAGTTGGGCATCATCGTCGCCCTCTTTATCATGGAGCCTCCTGATATAATGCACGACTACCCAAGCATTCGAGAAGTCTATCTGATTTGTAATACTACCAACCTAGGAGTTGTCACTCCACTCGGATACAATGGATTGTTGATATTGAGCTGCACTTTCTATGCGTTCAAGACCAGAAATGTTCCGGCTAATTTCAATGAGGCCAAGTATATTGCCTTCACAATGTACACCACCTGCATTATATGGCTGGCTTTTGTGCCAATCTACTTTGGCAGCAACTACAAAATCATCACCATGTGTTTCTCAGTCAGCCTGAGTGCCACAGTGGCCTTAGGCTGCATGTTTGTGCCAAAGGTGTATATCATCCTGGCTAAACCAGAGAGAAATGTGCGCAGTGCATTCACCACATCTACTGTGGTACGCATGCATGTAGGGGATGGCAAGTCTTCCTCCGCAGCCAGCAGATCCAGCAGCCTAGTCAACCTGTGGAAGAGGAGGGGCTCCTCTGGGGAAACCCTAAGGTAAAAATTATGGGGGCATAGTGGGGCACTGATCCCTATTGCTGAAGCACTGGCTTTTGATTCCTGGATCTTTTAAATAGGAGATATCTAAGTGCATGAAACTATTGAATGTCTTATGTCTTGGGACCTTCTCACTGAAGGGGTGGTTTGGGGAATGGGTGCGGTCATTGGATGTAGGTCATCTTTCTTGGGTCAAGGATAGAATCCTGAACATTGAGATCACTGGTAAAGCAAAGCCATAGTAATAGGTGGATGAAAACAGGAGGCCAGGGACAGCAAAATTAAGTCGATGAGTCAAGGCAGTGATTCCCAGATTCTGAGTGAGTGGAGATACATTGTAGGCTAAATTTCAGTTCACCAGAGCAGAGCAGAAAGGATTATTATTAATAAAGATTGTTTTGAGAGCATCCCGAGAATCTTATACTTTTAATTGTACTCTCATGTGCCTGAACCTCATTCAAGTCCAGAAAAGCCCTTGGATTTCCATCCCATAGAAGCACAAAAATGTATAATTTATATTTTAGTTCCTAATGGGAGAGTTGAACTCTAAATAACTTAAAGGTCAAACCAACAAAATGGCTTTGCATATAGTCCTGAACAACCCAGAAGTTACCCAATTCTCTGTTATCTATGTCCTGCCTCACCCCTGTGTTCAGTTTTGTAAATAGTAATTGTATAGTTTCTATCTAAAAATGATCTGGAGTCAACAGCTGATGGCTTCCCCATGTAAAGGACTTTCTTACATCATAACTGATTCCAAAAGCACTTCCAAACACAATGAGGTCATGTTATCAGTAGCTTTGGCATAAATGCTCATAGATTACATAGGTTACATAGATTGTGATAATTGGGATTAAGGAGATCCTTGTTTCATAGACCCATAGATCGGGAGTAAAGATTTCCTGTCTTGAAGGAGTACATATCAAAAGAGGTAGTCAGGGTGTCAGCTCTGATAACACTACTGAGATTTGAATGTATTCTAAAAATAAGTCTTTCAAATGGAAGATAAATATCTAAGTCACATTACTTGAGCTATTTTCTTACACCATCAGTTAGCCTTCATGGAAGTCCTACTTTTCTATCAGCCTCACTTCTTCAAAGCATGGTCTATGACCATGGTAATGATACTAGATTTTCTGGGCTTGGAAAAGGACTCCCAGGATATTTGGTATTTGAAGTTTATTCACAAGGCGTAAGTAATTTGTATTACTAACTTACAGTTTTACTTCCTTTGATGCTTTCCCAACTCCTCTGCACTTTTCAAATATATATATACATATATATATATATATATCAAGATATTCAACTAAATTGTAAATTGTGTCTTCTCTTTCTTTGATAATTGCTACAAATGTTATGGTCTGTACATAGAAGGACTTCCATATTTCTAACCTGCAGATATATTTTTCATTTGCCTTCCTGACTCCTCCATGAAACATTCTTTTCTGAAATTTCTGCAAGATCAACCTTTCGTTTTGGCAAAGAAAATTTATTTTTAAAACTTTTATATTATCAGCCTTTCTTTAAACTGTCCCTTCAAATAAAATTTTCCATATATAAATATAAATATATTTATATTTCAAATATAAATTTTGATATATAAGTACACAGTTTAGTGGAGATGGGAAATAATGTTTCTGTGTCTAAGCACTCCAGAAACTCACCAGGGAAGGCTCCCTGAAGAGACAGCATGGAGTAATGGCATAGCAAGGCTGTCATTCGTTTGAACATTGCTATTACCATTCCATCTCTCTGCACCTTATTTGCTTCATCTGATAAACTAGGATCATATCACTCACCTCATAGGATTGGGAAGAACGAAGGAGAAAATGTGAGTAAAGTCAGAGTACATAATAGACACCTATTGGCGTAGTAGAATACAGAGAGAGACAGCACTAGGATCACTAGGATGGAACACTGGCAACAGCAGTTACCAGCTGTGTAAACTTAGGCAAATTCACTTAACTACTCTGTATTGATTCCATTCACTGATAAATGAAAATAGCAAAATATATACTTCATAGAATGGTTGTGACAATTATATGTGTTCATACATGTTGTGTCATATCTGCCACATGGTAAGCCCCTCATTTGGATGAAGTTAACAGTTGTCAATCTTCTTCCATTCCTTAAAGTCAGTGTATTATATATGTAAGAAGGATGATCTTTGTAACATTTTAATAGGCAATACAAATCTAGTGAGACTGTTGTGTAGCCTGGGTTTCCAGGACATCTCCATCTTCACTTTGTCCAGCTGTTTACAGATTATAGAGCAACTCCTGTGTTGCTGTTTGAGCAGATCAAGTTCCTTGGAAGTGGGAGTCTTCTCTATGTGGTTTATCACTATGTCCCCAGTGTCTAACTTTACCTGGAAGGTGGCCCGGCACACAAAAACTGTTCAGTAATGAATTGGTATATTTGCAGAATAAATGACTTGGGGAAAGTAGTAATGAGTTACATATCATACTTGTGTGTCTTCAAGTATGCCCACTGCTATTCTTCATTGGTTCTATTAACTTTCATAATGTTAAACCTCCTGTGTTGTATATTTTAAATATTCCTCCTCCTATTAGTGTCATCAGTCTAAGCTCAAGAATTGTTATATTGATCGCGTACTTTACTACAAATATAATGTGCTTTTAGTGACATTCAATTAGTATTTTCTACTTTCTCCTTTATATTTTATAGTAAACAAAGAGATAAACAAAAACAACAAATACTATGGATAGTGCTGATAGAAAACAGAAATTCTCAGGATTTTGTGCCATTTTTTTACTTGTTTATCTTTCAGGGTCATGTAGGTTTTGGTTATTGAATTTTGCAGTCAGTACATTAAGGTATTATAATCTGCGAGAGGGTAAACAGGGACCTTTGGCATTACTGGGGTTTTTTTTAATGTAATTATGACAAAATTCTAATCTGTCTGCAACATTACATCTGAGAGAGGCCACAGGCTGATTATACAGACTTCTTTTTTTTTGCTATCAAGCAGGATATGCAAGCTGGAACGTGCTGTTGATGTGGTGAAGAAAGAAGGGCAGAGGAAGCTACAGTTCTATTACATCACATACGTCCCATTCCCGGCTTTCCTTTTTTAAGCCATAATTTTGAAAGCAAGAGAGATGCAAACTATTTCGTTTCTCTATGACTTCCATGAACTCATACACTAAATATGTCTTTTCTGAGATTCAAAATCAAGATGCACTAACACAGTAATTTATCACATTAAAAAATGTAACTAGTTATGCAAAAATTTACCTACCCTTCCAATTTGTCATTTTATGAAGGCAGGAGATCACATGATCTGTAATATTCCCATCTTCAATAATGGGAAACAAATGAATACAAGTATTTCTAATATTTCCACATTTTATTCTCAATCACTACATTTAATTGTGCTTCTCAGGCTTGAACAATAAAATGTGCTAATGAGTTCATCAATTGGGATATTGGATGGTCTTAAATAGGTATCTTAAATCTCTGGATGTAGGTCCTAGGGGATAAGCAGCTACTGTGCTGGGCCCAGCTCTGTTGAGGTCTCTTCCTCCTTCTTCTGTCTGTATAGAGAAGCAGGCAGCATTAAGCTCAGACCTCTTTTCTCGGTAAGTCCTACACATGCCCTTTCCATATGTAATGGCAAATAGCAAGTACTCCTCAGGTTAAAGAAGACACTAATTAGCATACTTTACAGTAAAGGATGTAATAATGAGTCCTAACGTTATAGTGACTATTTCCAAAACTTAGTATACACTCTGAGATACATGCACACAGGCAGACAATAGATGCAATTACAGCATGCTAGTTAGAGCCACAGCTAGATTTAAGTCCAGCTATGGAAATGGTACTTTAGTCCATTTCAATTGTAAAGTGGTAATTAATAAATCATGTTTTGAGCAGTAAATGAGATAATAAAAGACATCTTTAAAAGGTACATGGAAAATAATATTATGGATTAAACTATATGGTTTTCAACTGTTTGCACCAAAATAAACTTATCTTTTACTCCCATTTTCCCACAATATATATAAGTTCATTTGTATTTGTAAGTAGTTGGTACCAACACATAGAAAGCAATCAATAAATGGCAGCTACAACTTTCAGAACTGTCTCTCTGAAAATAACAGAAAGCGTATTTTCAGAGGCTTATCATGTTTCTCTGAGTTGCATTTCCTTCCTGTTGCAAGAAGTATGGAGGGAGACTACTCATGGTAACAGCAGTACCAGCATTTCAGCATTCTCTAGGCCTCTTACTAATGTTTACAGGATAGCTGTCATGATTTCACACACTGCAACCTTTTATTAAGGAGAACAAAAGTCTTCTCAGAATCCTCCTGTGTCTCATTCTCCAAAACTTCTTCTTAAAGCTGTAATAGATGATAAGAAAATGTGTGTCAGCCTTTATAATGGAAATTGCATGGGAAGAGTAGGGGACACTCTTCATTGGCGTGTGTGGTGAATAAGCTTATTCACTGGATATGCCAATGAACAGTGTCTATCATGAAAGTGGTAAAGCTTAGTAGTAACACTGGAAGTAGTCATCAAAGGAAGAGGGAGAGAGAGAAGGACAGAAAGAAACCAAAAAGAATCACAAGGCTTCCTTATAGAACTATTCATATGTATTGCTATTCTAATATTTATAATTGCCACAAAATATTGCACATAGAAGCAGTTATCCTTACTATTTTTTAGAATTTGAGGTCTGGCATCATTGAAAGACTTGGCTACAACCTCATGACTAATGAGTGATGGGACAGTATTTAAGTCACGTCTTAGGTTAGGGTGATTAGGGCTGAGTACCTACAGGAGTATGTATGCTTTGTCTAATATCTCATTAATCCTCCCATGAAAAGGAAGGTTTTTTTGTCCAAAAAATGTCTGAAAAAAACTATTCTTTTTGTTGGATATAAAAAGAATTCTTACAGTAGAGAAATGAATCATCAATGTGTTAACTCTTTCTAATCATTTTCCATGCTTATTGTACATGGGACCATTTTTTTCTC